CAATCTGTGAATCAGAAATTTCTCATATTTAAGGCAGTCGCCAAAGCTTCGCCTATTTCTGTAAGCTGGAGATGAGCACATCTTAACTACAGTATCTGAAGAGAAACTTTGCTATTCAGTGCGCAAAGAATTCCAAATTTTCATAATTTGCCACTTACAAGCCTACAACAAACAGGCTCAAAAAAGTAAACATTTTAAAATTTTTGTCTTTTCTTTTCGCTGAACCCCTTGCTTGAAGTATTTTTTATACACAAGTTTACTTTTGGCCTGCGGCTACAAAATAAGCTGATGCCAGCTGTAGAAACAAAACTTGAAGGGAGTTGTAAGCTCTCAAAGACGAGGTCTCCAAAAGAAAAGTTTCAGTTTTTTTGACACATGGTTTTCTTCCCGTTTGCGGTATCAGTACGTGCAGGTGCTCGCTAGATTACGAAAGGTTTGCTGTACAGCCTTCTGAAATAAAAATCTGCAAAACGGACATTATTTTTGCAACAACCTAATACAGATTTAGCACGTAATGGCTGATCTGAGCACAGGTGATTTCTTTAGTTAACGAATTTGTAGATGTGATGGGAAAAAACTTCAGGGTAAGTCGGAGATAGTATCTCCAGTAAGCTGTCGTTATTTTTTTTAAATTCAAAAATTTCATAAAGCTACGTTTCCTGAAACCTTCGTAGTGTTCCAAAAAGGTGATACAGAAGTCTATGCAAATCTCGGATATCGAATGCTAACGGCATAAGCTTTGCTGATGGGGAAAGATGTTCCAGCTGCGTGTTATTATATTTGTTGTTGTTTCTAACTAGTTAAAGCTAATGGAACAGAATTTACCTTGACTACGCTTTTATCGCTACTCTAATCTGTGGTAGGCCTGAAAGTCCCAAATTATAAAAATTTGTAACTTTTTAAGCACTGAACAGCTAAGTTTTTTATTCAGAAGTTATAAGCAAGATATCAATCTCATCCTTACAAAAATGAAAGCATTGGCTTGTTTAGAAGAAACTTTTGAACCATAAAAGACCAGCAACGAGTTTCTAGTTGCGTCATTTATCAGCCGAATAAATTCTGAAAATAACAATCAAGCATGCAGTAGGTAAACATTATATCCTATATACCAGCTATGTTTACAAAAGAATTTGTCCTTCTGTGATTGACTTGCGGCCAATGGTGAAAATAACGAAATTCCAATTTTTGAGTGCTCTTGTGCAAAATGCTTGTTTTTTTCATAGATGAGGATAAAAGTCTAGTTGCACAACGGTTGACAAGCACCTAAGGAAAGCTTCCAAAGAATGTACTAAATCCATACCAAAAAACGAAGTCTGATGAAAAAGGAAAAGGGTAAAAAACGAACATTTTTGAGCCAGCACCAAAACAAATATCAACAAAACCCAAAGAAGTTGATTTGTCAAAAAAGAGCTTTCAAAGAAGCCTCGTTCTCCAAATCAGGGTTTACATCTGCTTGTGATACAGTGCTGGCCAAAACTATAGATCCACCCTAAAAACTGCTGTAGTTCATCTGCTTCTCAACGAATTTATCTGAAATTTGGTACAGCTGTGTGATCAACAGGCTTCCATCAGTGACTAGAGCGGATCCCGCTTTCGCTGGATTATTCAGGAAAAAAATCAAAAATTTCGAAAAAAAGCAGGCTCGAAGGTTGGCCAAAACTACAGATCCACGTAAAATTTCTGTCTGCTAAAGTAATTCTCGGCTTCCAAAAGTTTTTGTGCATATACATAGTCGAAAGTCAAAGCAGTCGCTTCAATCCAGCTGCGTCATACCTTCATAAGAAACGCTTATCTGCTTTTTTTCACTTAAAAATACTTTTATGCGTATTTTGTTCCCGAGAATGTGTTTTTATAGAGGATTCCGCACTTTGCGACTGGTTTCAAAGTGATAGGGCACCATCTATCTTATAGATGCTTAGCAGTGTGAGCAGTAGAAAAAAAAATTCGAGTTTTCATATCCAAAGCGCACCCGACATAGACCTAACCGCAGGCCCGCGCTCGAGCTTTTGCCTTGAAAATTCGTGTACGCTATTTTTGTAAGCTCAAAATAATGTAGAAGCATTATTTAGCATTATTTACATAGAAAGATGTTTGTAAACTATAGCTTTTTCAAAGGTCTTGCAGTGTGTTCGACAATCTCAAAGTACTTAGGCAGGCGCTATACTTCTCGAGGAGTATAGCATGGACGATCGATATGCATCAAATACGTGTAAAACTGGTGATTTTTGTCGCCAATATCGGCGACTACACGTTTGATACGTAACGTGACGTGTGATAACTTGTTTGGCGATTGGCGATCGCCAGTCGCCAGTGTTGTCAACTACACATTAAATGCGTATCGATTACGTGTGGTAACTTGTTAGCGATCGATACGCATAGAAGACACAGTCGCCAGTAGTTAGTCTAGCGACGGCGATCCCCCGTCGCCATGCTATACTCCTCGAGGAGTATAGCGCCTGCCTTACCAAGTGGTAAATTCCTTGAATTTTCTACTATTTAGCTGGTAACTAGTGAACACACCCTGTATTGTATGTTGCCTTCTGACTCACATAAGTATTATGGTCAGAACCAGAAATAACTTCAAGGCTTGTTGCAAATCACTTTTTGCAGGATGAAGTCCTCAACTAACCTGCATAAGATCTGCAGAAATCTGCAACCACTGCATACGGACTCTCATACATACTAACAATGTCATTACTCCAGTTCACGCTCATGACACCATTGCAAAAAGTGTTTGAAGGCATAAATTTGAACGCAGGCCTGCGGTTAGGCTATATTGGGTGCGCTTTGGATATAAAAACTCAAATTTTCTTCTATTGCTCACACTGCTAAGCATCTATAAGACAGATTGAGCCCTATCACTTTCGAACCAGTCAAAAAATTGCAGAATTCGAATCTTTCATAAAAACACTTTCTCGGGAACATAATACGCATAAAAGTAAGTGAAAAAGTGAGAAAAGTGAAAAAAGCAGATAAGCGTTTCTTATAAAGGTAGACACAGTTGGACTAAAGCCACTGCTTTGACTTTCAACTATGTGTATGCACAAAAGACTTTGGAAGCCGAGAATTACTTTAGTAGACAGAAATTTTAGGTGGATCTATAGTTTTGGCCAACCTTCGAGCCTGCTTTTTTATCGAAATCTTTGATTTTTTTCTGAATAATCTAGCGAAAGCGGGATCCGCTCTAGTCAATGATGGAAGCCTGTCGAGCACACAACTATACCAAATTTCAGATCAATTCGTTGAGAAGCAGACGAACTGCGGCAGTTTTTAGAGTGGATCTATAGTTTTAGCCAGCACTGTATCAAAGCATGAGTAGGCACCGAGTTGCGAGAGATTTACTTGCATCTGACGGTCTTTGCTGCAATCAGACATGGAGCTTCGACTTAGGATTGGACTGGATGGATTGGATGCATGGATTTGCCCATTCGCTTTGGTGTTTCCTCTTTAGATTAGCTTGAAAGTGACGCTTATGGCTTTCACTCCATGATGTATGCCAATTAGTGGGCTAAGCTGTTTTTTGGATTTGGTTCCGCTATGGCTGCCCGAGGCACCGTCTATAATCGGCTGTTTTTTTTTTCTGTTTCGTTCTTTTTGCACTAACCAGTTCGTCAGGAGCATCTATGAATGCACAAAATACATAAATAAATAAATAAATGACCTTGACCTTCAAACTTGAAGCTGCTTAAATTCAAAGTATGCAAAAATGTATCTTGTACCAACCTAACACTTTTTGTTTTTTATACATAAGAAATACATAAAATCAAACATAGCCATCTGAGCCCTTTCGAGGTTTAATGGAGATAAAAACTTGTAACAGTTGTTGAAAACTGTGCAACCGTCTACGGTGGAGGCGAGTTATATAGATCAAAAGTCGTCAATAAAAAGTTTCTTCAAACGAAAGAAGCAGAATATAGGCGTTTCCACCTTTGCATCAACACTTGCAAAATCTTCAGAGTTTTCAACCAATGATAATCATCTCACAGGGGAAGGATACCGAGACGCATGCGCTTTCGGTAATGAGATATACATAAAGGCCCCTTTGATACATTGATAACATATCTGCTTTCCAAATCTGCGAAGCGGATCCTTGAAAGAAGTTACGGAGAGTGATGAAGGAACACGAATAGAAACGCTGATAGTGCGGTTGAGAGAATGCTTAATTTTCAGACATAAGGTGCAAGTTCAAGTCCCATGGGTGCGCACCGCTTTTGCGTTTTTTGCAGAATTTTCATATTTCATCCTAATATCATTTTAAACAGCGAATCTCAGTAGTTACCGCTATGTCTGCTCAACACACTTCTCTGACCAATGATGATGCATACTTACTCGTTTTCGTCTGTAGATATAGGGCAAAATCTGCAGAACCCCGGGCTACTTCTTTCACAGAACGCTTCACAGATTTGGAAAGCAGACATGTTATCAGCGTCGAGAAAGGACCATAATGATGTAAATCTCTTTGCTAAGCGCCACTGCGACTCGGTATCCTTCGCTCATGAGTGCGAAAGCGTGAACCCACGAGCCTACAGTAGTCGAACTGACAGAGGATATCGCGAATTTCACCTGATTAACTTTTTGTGAACTTCTAAAAAAAACAAAAAACGCTGAACGAGGCCTCATTTTCTACCTTAGCGTCTTCGTTCAAATCTTCTAAAGTGTGACCTTGCACTGTTTGGAAGAATTACAATTTCTTCTCAACGAATTCTACAAGTTGTACAGTAAGTGGAGCGCTTGGGACCGCCACAGAATTCTCCTCTTCAAAAAAATCAATCATTATGCTGACTGATGTGGTCTTCTACAAATAAAATGAATCTGTTGGTCTGCTTGCATTCTGTAATTTTAGACAATTACGCGCAAGGCATCCGTACACTCAAAAGCTTTTGCAATTCGCTTTTTTATACGAAAGTTAGCTCTAATGTGTTTAGCTAAGCTTTTCTAAGGTAAAGGAAACATTACAGCAGACATCAGCTTTTCTAAATTCAAAAAAAATATGACGCTATAGGTATTCTTCAGACCGTAACATTACGGTGAGATTTGGTGACCTCCAACTCTTCATTGGCCAAAGTAAAGCTTCATTGCCCTTTTTATTCGTATCGAAAAGAATAGGGGCGTGACTTGGAGACAGGTGGAGCACTCAGTAGCGAAGAAGTCTCGACCGCGGCAGCCTGACCAACAAGATGAGATTTCTGCAAGCAAAGCTGGAGTGGGTTCGGATCGCCTTCTTCTACGCACTGGTTAGCTTCCGTAGGTACTTTTGTTCGCATCAAGATCCAGATACTCCAGATCAACAACAGCTTGCACTGCACATTTAAAAGTGTGACAAGCAATTTCACAGCATCTCTGAAGGCCACATTCAAGGGCATTACTGAGATAGAATGCATGAGTAAGTGCTCCGCGGATATGGAATGCACCTTCCTGGACTACAATCAGGTATTTTTCAATAAAAATGAGGTAAGAGGTTCGGTGTAAATCAATAACGAGCAAAAAATGTAGTACTCCAGGATATAAACTAACGAGTAGTACTACTTTATAAGAGGTTCATAAGATTTTGCTATAAAACGGTCCAATTACAGGAAACATGCAGAACTTTCAAACATGGTAATGAAGTGCAGGAGCTAAACTCTGTCAACAAAGCTTTCGCATATTCCTTTGATGAGAATGAATCATCTTGTCCAACTAAAGTTGTATCAAAACCTAAACCCACGATTAAGACAAAGGTATGCAACGACTATGTCGTAACTTCGAAAAATGAGAAAATAATCTTGGCGAAGACGGATCTGACTGAAGCACCGGATAAGATACGCAAATACGAGTCTGTTTTTATGCAATTTGCAAACTAGTAATGAGCGAAATAGCACAAGTTTAGCATACCACAGTTCTTAACCAGTGAGTCAATCGGCTGCAAGGTAGCACACTTGAAAAGATATTTGACAGGTAAGATTTTTTGTGAGCTCTTTATTCACTGTAACCTGATTTTAAGGCAAAAGCTGGCGTTACACCATTAGCAATGATCCTGCTTGAGGCTCAGTTTGCGCTGATTACCATGAGAAAGCACCGTATGCAGTTGCAGAATACAAATGCAAGGAAGAAGCCAGATACGTTACTGTGATTGACGACAAAGGTGGAAAAAACCTCGAGTTTTCTGACTTCGGTGATCTAGAGCGTGTTGAAAGCACCCCCATTTTCTATGTAGATGCTTGGTGGTCTTCGCTGTGATTGACTACATCAGTTCCGCTTCTTCAGGAATTTGCTGCAGCTTTTTGTATTGTGCATCTCTCTTGTGTTTGTCCAGTTAAACAGTTGTTGCTGTCCGAATAATTAGATTCATGCAACAGTAATGAGCATTAGTCGAATGATCAAACAATTATTAATTTCGTACACCACGCATTTCAACGAAGACCTTCCTAAGCACTTTATAAACATGACTCGATTATAGCAGACATAAAGTATAGGAAAAAAACATGCAAAAACCGTATACCCACCTTTACTCGAGAAAAAGGCGCTACAATCAATATAATGTTTATTCTTATACTAGTTGGCAAACCCGGCTCCGCCCGGGCCTGTCATTATTATATTCGTAATCAGCATGCTCGATTACCCCCCTGTGCCAACTCCCAGTCCTGTAGCTCAAATTTTGCAAAAAATCGATAAAATCGATATCGATCGATAACGAAAAGTAGCCTATGACAGCTCCCTGCCCCGAAGTATATGTGTGCCAAGTTTGGTCCAAATCGGTTCAGAAATAAAAATTTCTATTCCGCACATAAGTACAGACAGACATACAGACAGACAGACATACAGACAGACATTCAGCTTTATATATAAGATGTTATACACACAAGGCGTGCCATTTGAACAATCAGCGAAAACGTTTCGAAACATAATTAGTCACGGAGGAAACAAAGATATACTTCAAGTCAGCTCAAGTTCAACCCCTGAAAAGTCAGAATAGAACGGATTAGGTTTGTTTAAAGCGTATATGAATTCGTAACATTGGTGTAAAAGCACAATGGAGTCTATCTCATGTCTCCTGCCGCAGCAAAAATGCTCGATGATTAATTGACATAAGCAACAGTATATGGAAGAAGCGGATGTATGGTATAGTTCTAACGAACGGAAATTTACATCGAATGAAGGAATAGAATAATCGATTTTCGAAAATTTTTCGAACGAATAAATATCAAATGATTAATTTTTGAAAAATTTCGAATGAACAAATATTATTCTCGATTCTCAATTTTCAAATTATTCGAAATGAATATTTGAATATGAACACGTTCTAAAATACGAACTTTCAAATTTTCGGGAAACCCCACTTACTTAAATACTCGACTATTCGAATCAACGAATAACTGAATTTCATTGAATATTCGAATGTACATTTCGAACATTTGAATGCAGTAATCGAATATTCAGACGCAATAATCGAGTATTTGAATATTCGAACAACTTTCTCCAAAACTTTTCGAATATTTGAATATTCAAGTGATTGTTTATTAAAAGTCCTCGAGTATTCGTATGCGATTGAGTTTTTCTGAATGGTCGCATGAACGAATTCTTTAGATAAGGACTTTTTTCATTTATTCGCCTATTCAAATAATCAAATAATTAGACTTTCTCGTATATTCAACAATTCGAATAGACGAATATTTCGAACAAATTATTGAATGAGAATATTTGGTTCCAACTGTAGTGTATGCGTGTGTAGGCAAAAACCCGCTCAACCAACTCCTGGAGAGAAAACAGAACTTCATGATAAGAGTTAGCACGTTGCAAAAAGTTACACAGGCCCAACAAGCTAGTTCCAACCAACACGAAAAGAGATAAACCGGCAAACCAACTTGTGGACAAAGTATAAGTATTGTCCCCTCCACAGCTCGTGCTACCCTTGGTCTGCGTCTCAGACCTGCCACGTGTGGCTAACGTGTTGGCAACGTGACAACAACATGTTTGCAACATGCCCCAACATGTTGGCCGCAACATTTTGGCCGCGCCAACATGTTGCTGCATGTTGCCAATGTGTTGCTGCCAATGTTGCCAATGTGTTAGTCACACGTGGCACGTCCGCGACGCCACAAGGGTAGCACGAGCTGTGGAGGGGACGATATGTCAAAACGCCAACATCAGACGGCTTAGGCCTCGGACAGAGTTTACGCGATTTGATCGTCGCGATTCAATCGCTGCAAGACAACTGTTACGAGTTCATTGCATGCCGATCAGCTTGCATTTCCGTTGTGATACTTTTCCAGCGCGGAATTTTTGAATGTAAAATGAACATAAATGAAAATCGTGGCGATCAAATCGCAAAGATCAAATCGCGTGAATTCCGTCCGAGGCCTTAGACTGAAAGCAACTCCATATCCTCTTACATACTACAGTCACTGCAGCCATAAAAAATAGAAACAAACAAGATACGATGGAGGATATCTGGTCATTAGCAGAAGCGACGATGTATGTAACTATGCTTCGGCGAAGCCCGAGCGGGCTAAAGGAAACCTTGTTTAAACGAAGTGGCCTTTTTACTTTTTAGATGTGATGTGTACCAAAATGGAGAGCATAAAACAACAAAGCATGAAGTGATTTCAAATCTGTTTTACGTATCTGTGTAACGTTTGTGAACGAGGATTTATGAGCTTTATTGGAGCAAAAAAAGTGAATGTGCGCTCTTTTCCAACCCTCATATATAGCAACCAAGTATGATACATTTTTTATCTGAGGTATTCAGTGAATGAGGTGCTCTGATATATATACATCACTACTCCACTGAAGCTGTAGAAAAAAGTTACGGCTATTTTTGTACTACTTCCACAAGTAATTTTTTGCTCAAAGGCTCGTAACTACTCTCACAAACGTTCCGAAGATAAGGAAGGCAGGTCTGAAATCACCGTTTTATGCCCTCCATTATGGTATACATATCATCTAAAAAGGCCGCTTCTACTAAACAAGGTTCCCTGGTGAATGTATAGTAACCTTGCAGTGACAAAAAAGGTCGCAGGCGCACCAGTAAAGGCTACTGTATTACAAACAGAAGCAGCATTAGTTGAGCAGGCGCGACACCGCGGGATATCCTCACCGTTATTAATCCTGCACCGCATGCGCTCTGCGGTTGATAAAGCTGCTTTGGCCCGAAGATACTGCGCTTTCGTCATGCAACAACCTATACAATCAGTGAGATTTACATCCAGCTTGTGACTAGATTCTCAATTGAGTCGTAGAGAATACAGGCCAGAAAGTAGAGAATAAAGAAATCAACATCGGTGTAGAGAGTTGACGTGAATAAATACACAACGCTAAACTACTACTCATGTTTTCATGTTCATCTGCTAAATAACCCTCTAGGCGAAGTTCCAAAAAACTCGGTGATTTTAACTGCCTACCCCCTACCGTAACCTTGCATGGAAGACGTTTGTGCGAAAAGTGTGGTATCTGTATCAGCATATCGAATAACCCCTCTATGCAAAGCGCGAGATCTGAGATTTTGACCACATACCGCAGCCTACGTATATAGCCCCCGAAAACGCCCTACCATGCGAAATAAATAGCATTTTCGTGACCAGCACATCGGCTAACTCCTCCAGGCGGATTGTCAATGAAGTCCGCGATTTCAAATTTTTGGGTTGTATCTTCTAGCAGAATGGAACCTTCAGACTAGTTAATGAGTGGTTGCAAAAATAATGTCCGTTTTTCTAAGCCTATGTTCCAAACAACTTTCTTCCATCAAACTTTTTTTTCGATAAAACTTCTGCATATCATTGGAAAGCTCTCTTCATGTACTTTCTCATGGCGGTAAAATTAAGCTGCTATCTTCTTTGTAAAAATCTCAACAGCATTTTCCACATCTGCACTCAAAATCAGAATCTCATAGCTTTCACTTTCTTGATCACAATTAGGAGCAAATAAACGAGTTCTTCTAAAAACATAGCCTATGTATTGGATGAAGATTTACCTAATGCGTGCTTACGTAGATTTTTGGAGATACCTGGACTGAGAAATTAACGCCTCGAAATAGATACTCGCTGCGGCACTCCTAGAAATTTCTCATAAATAAGGCATTACCAAAGCTTCGCCCATTTTTGTAAGCTTGAGATAAGCACACCTTAACTAAAATATCTGAAGAAAAACTTAGCTATTCAGTGCGCGAAGAATTCCACTAATTTGGCACCCACAGGCCTGCAAGAAATAGGCTCAAAAAAGTGAACATTTTTGAATTTTTATCTTTTCTTTTCGCAGAACTCCTTTGTTGGACTTTTTTCTATATACACATATGCTATTGGCCTGCGGCTACAAAATAAGCTAACTAGCAGACATAGGGACAAAGCTTTAAGGGAGTTGTAAGCTCTTGAAGACGAGGTTTTCAAAAGAAAAACTTCCAGTTTTCTGACGCATGGTTTTCTTCCCTTTTGCGATATCAGTACGAGCAGGCGCGCGCTAAATTGCGAAAGGTTTGCTCTTTCTGATGGTCTCGACCGCATTCAAAAATATGAAGACTGAACGAAGTTATAGCCTTCCAAAGTGAAAATTTGCAAAACGGACATTATTTTTGCAACAACCTAGTACATGGAATGGTTGTTTAACGGAAGTAAAACTTTGGGTAAACTCCATAAAGACAAGAACACTTTCGGTTCATAACTGGTCCAATAAATGGGGCTCGCTAGATTGCTGTCTCTTCCACATGATCATCACAAAGACGACATCATGGAAGCAGTAATTTGTGCGCCCTAGTCGCAAAAACGCTCGCGTCAATAAACTAGTTCGCATGCGCGGCGGCTCGCGCAATCGATTGGTCAGTGTGAGTGCGCGGCCTCGCCGTGGAGTTCGTCTTTGTCGTTTCTGCTGGAGCTCAAGTTAAGGAAGCCAAATCTACCTTAGTCCCCATCTTCGATCCTCTTTCGTTTCATGTCGGGCTTTTTTACAGTAGGGTCCAAACAGGCTTGACTACAACCATTTCAGCTACCAAAGAAAGTGGTCTGAGCGTTTGAAAGTGTTATGCTTCCGTGGATGTACGAAAACGGAACTGATAGAAGAGAGCCGGATGTAAAGGTAAATTTCTGGTCATATTCGCTAATTTGGGTTTATCTGCTGGAGTGTGTGTACAGCTGCTGTGCTGTGGATATGGCAGGCTTGGTAGTTCAAAGCGTTGAAACCTTGGAGGATTTACGATCAATTCTGAAATCATCTCTCTAGACGAGAAAATTTCCTGAATTCATGTTGTGCGGAGGTTTTTGCGCATTCACTTGTTTTTTTTTAGCAACCGGAAGAAGAGACTACGGATCAGTATGATAGGTCCAGAGACCAACGCTATTACAATGATTACTACGAAAAGTTCGAAGAGACGTCGGATTCAAGATGCTATCAAAATGACCAAGGGAACAGGAGGTATGACATCGTATCCAAAAAATTCGAAAGTGTAAAGTGTTTTTCACCTGAGGTTGAGCAATGAGAAGGGTATTGGTTATTTGAACAGCCTCTCATTTACTGTGCAGGAAGATTTTTATACGTAACAGTAGTTTCGCTGAAGAACTGTGCAAAGGTTGACGTTTGCATGATGTGCGGACTCGTTTTCGCATTTTTTCGAAATGCGTCTGGAACAATGCCGTTGCAATCCATTGTCATTGTAATTGTGCTGTTCGAAAGCTCGTTTTCGAACGTGTCCTATTCGTGACTTAACCCCTCGCACGGGGCCTGTCCTTGGTTGATTGGACGTATTTACTTTTGTAATCGATTTGAAATACAGAGTCGAAGCTCCAGTACCGCGCGATCGTAGAAGGCAAGACTCACCCGGCCGACCTCGAAACAGGAGTCGCTCGCGCAGCCGTGAAAAACGCTACACGAGAGGTATGTTCTATTTTCTCGTATTAAAAAGTAGGTTGATTTGCTGTGATGAACAAAAAAAATAGGGAGCAAACAGAATTTGGTTTATAATTTTTTCATAATTAAATTGATCATTCAGTTGAATATTTAAGCTTGACGTGATGAGCCATGAGCTATCAAAAATCTCGCTTCTTTTTTGCTGACGAGCGACTGAAGGCTTTGAACGCGCAGGGCTATATTTTCCGAATTCCCACGCATTCTTCCAGCCCATTCTATGCATTTCATCAATAGACATGAGAATCAACGCAATTTTTTGAGATTTGACTCTCCTTAGTTTTGTCTGGTACCAGCTCTTTATTGCTGTCCTAACACTAATACGTATTGATTTTCGCTTCACAAACGCGAGAAAAAGTAGAGGCGCTGAGACGTGGCGTTCTATATTTGCCCTTTCGCTGCAGAGCCATCTATGCGGAGTCATTTTCCAAATTTTCGAGGTAATTGCATTTAAACATACATCAGGCTGACAGAAGGAAATTGGTTTAGTAACATCTTTTGGATTTTGCGTTGTTTGAACATACATTAGACTAACAACGAAATTTGTTTAGTAATATCTTGTGTATGGCAGTCGGATTTTGCGATGGAAGTTTTTTTAATTGAATTTATACACAGGATATTAATTGCACATTATATAATGCCCATTTTCAAAAGAAAAGAACATTTGAATTACTGAAGTTGGTTTATTTTGAAAGCGTGTTTATCTTAAATCATGATTGTTTTATCGGTAGTTATAAGATGTTGAAGTTTCCCTTTTGGCGGAAAATGCAAGTGAATCAGGACGGTAGTAGGTATGCGTCTAGATACGGAAGTGAAAGTCGGTGTAAACGGGTTGAAGTTTTTGTGGTTCCTAAGTCCATGAAAAATCGAAGACGACGAAGTTGCTCACATAATTGATTTTTGTTGGGAAAACCACTTACGGTCACTGGACATGTTCTCAGAACGAGTCATTGAGGTTTGAGTGGTGAATTTAATCAATGTTTGAATGCGTGTTCCCACGTTTGACGTAAATGAGCTGATTACACAGACCGGATGGTTGCAGAACGACAAATGTTAGAATTTTGAACATCTTTTGTTGGTGGTTAACATCATTCCTTTGAGCTGACTCCACTGAAGCTGTAGCTGTGGTCTTGAAATTTGATGCCGTGATTGGCAATTCGCTTCAAGAAGCAAATGTTCTTATTTGCTTTCAACATAAGAGTTTTTGTTGGAGGCTTCAAAGACAAATTATTCACTTATCATATGAACGAGCAGCGAGAAAATTGCGATATTTCCCTTTTCCCCCTTTTCATCCTGCCTTTTTCCGTCCTTCCTAAACGCACAGCCTACTGAAGTTTCGCGGATTTCTAGACGCATCATTACATGTAATGTCATGCCTGACGAGTCAACCGTAGCGCTTGATTTCTTATTCTTCATCTTCATTCTCAGTCGTGCACATGCCAACCAAAGGTACTGTTGTTTTATATAATTCGGCACGGTTGTACTTCTGGCACTTTTGCACTACGGGTCTGTGACCTCGGCTTGGGAGACAAAAAAGGAATTCACGCCCTATGATTGCTTTTCCAGGTTGCGGGTTGTGACACTGAATTAATTGCGGTTTTTCATGTTCCTTAATGGTTTCTATGTTCGGTGACAACCTTAGGCCTCGGCGACTTCGCCCAAATGCCGAAGCGCTTAAGTTTTTCTAATGCCTCTTCACTTTCTCATCTGAGAGAGATGAGAGAAAGTGAAGAGAGGTTAGAGAAATTTGGACCCTTTTGATTTGGACGCTTTTGAGCGAACACTGGCGGGGCCTTACGTTGACTGGAAGCATCTCATCCTTTATGGGCAGCTTTCAGGCAGTGATTTGACCCAGGATTCTTGTTTTTTGAATGCTGTTTCATTTTCAATAATATCCATGCTCGGTTCAGAGATAGAAAGGGCTAAAGCTCATAACATAGCAAACCTTTTCTTATTGAAAGCAAGCTCGGAGAGACGTGTCGAGTTTTGAAGCTTCTTATTTTACTAATATTTTTGGTCAAGGGACGTGGTTAACCGCTTTTTTTTCAGGTCGCAGTCGATCTCGCTCCCGTTCACCAATGCGCAGACGTCGTTCACGCTCCAGAAGCAGAGTAAGAAGGAGTCGAATAAATGCCTTTTTCTTGTTGCGAGTCCCGATTCCCCGCGGCGCGTTAGCGGCTGACGTAATGCGTCATTGAATTCCAGGAAAGGGATACGTATTCGGTGGTCCCCGTGAATAAATTGGCCTTGCTAAACATGCCGAGCAATGTCGATAGGAATGCTGTGAGTACGACAGCGGACGGCTAAGAGGATTTGCTTGAGAAATTCGAAAAATTCACCGTTTATTATTGAAGATCGCACTGGTACTTGCCGCTTCGGGTTATCTTCCGCAGGACATACGCGTCATCAATCGTCGAGGTAAGAATTGTAGCCACAGATATTGCTCAAATTATCATACTCGTACGAATCCTCACAAAATAACTGTACTTTACTTCTCTTGAAAATCGGTGAGCATAACGTTTGCTACGCTCAGATAAAGGTAAGGTAGTAGTCCGTAGAGTAACTTCGGCTCTCTTACTTCATATATGTGACATGTTACAGATCAGATCAGCCTCTCGACTCATGATTTGTGCATATTAGGTGTCTCACAAGCATTGCAGCAAATTGCAACATAGACATATAGACGACTAGCACGCAAACCGGGATTTGCCACTTTTACGCTTGAAGTTGAATTCTTCATTGACGATCAATATCTCATCAGACAGTTTTTTTTTTTTTATATAGGCGGCAATTACACTTACCTATTGAATCTTGAACTATCGAAAATGAATGATATCGATCGCTTCCCAACCTCTTCTCGAAAATGGAAAATTTTCGTCTTGGATTAAACAAAATTTTGTCGTTCTCCTCCCTTTCCCGATCGCAAAAAAAAACTTTACGGTGCGAGAAATCTTTCTTTTGGAAGGGGGGGGGGGAAGGAGAGAGAGCAAAAGAATTTTGGGATTTTTTTTTCGAGTTTTTGGAGCATAAATAATGAAATGAGTCGAGAGGTTGAGACCACCTTTCCTGCCTTGTCCACAGCATAGTAGTAACGAAATCAGCGCCGTAACTAGGGAAAATCCTCGTTTTGCTGGAGTGCGCTCGACGTTTTATGCTAGGTTTCAGTAGGACCACTTCATTCCCCTAACTTATCGTTCATTAATTTGATAGTGAACAACTAAAACCCTTACTTGGAGTTCAAAAAGCAAGGTAGGCGTCAAAAGAGTTTGCGTTCTCAATCTTCCCGTGAAGATCGTTTCCTTGATGACTTTATGAGAACTGACTTATTGTATTTTGTTAGGCCGTTATTTGATTGTTTGTATGTTTTGTTCCCGTTATTTATACATTGCCATATTGTGTAATATCAATAATATGACCTGCGCGAATTCTTGAATCGCTGCAGGTGGCTCGCGCTCGTTCGGTTTTATCGACTTTGCCGATGTGAAGACAGCCATGAAATGGATGGACGAGAACCAGGTCTCGCTCCACACAGAATCGCCAACTCTTTTTATTGGTTTCATGACCTTTCTTTAATCTCAATGAGGTTCTAATCTGAACCAGAACTCTTTTTGTTTGACCCTGACCCACCTTTTCAGATATTAGAGTGGCGTCAGGTAACTACGTAGAAATAGCTCCTGCTCAAAATTCTACTTTCTCATTGCTCAATCTTGGGAGAAATTCATGCGTCTGGCTTGGAAAATGAGATTTTTGCATTCAAAAATAAATACAAATCGTCAAGCAGAAACTTTGTAGTGTAGTGCTCAGCATCATTCTCCACTTTCTGTTGCTATCTCTACTCCATCTTTTTCTTTCATCTTCTAAGCCAGATTCCGAAAGTGTTGACTTCGTCTCCTTAGGCTAATTTGTTACAAAAAATGTTTTTTTTTCATTTAACAAACGTTTGGATGTGTCGGGTCTTCCGGGGCCCGGCACGCTCAGTGTTCATACTTTATACTTTAGGGTTGGTTGACTTTATCGGATGGGCATCGAGTTCAAGTGGAATACGCAAAAAGCGATCCAGCTAGTGGTGGTCGACGTAGTGACCACGATTGGACGTGTGCTAATGTAAGTACGATAGGGCAAGTTTGGTCTTTTCCGGATTGTTTGAGTATATGCTGGCGGTATTATGAGCTTTTTTGTTCCGAAAAATGACCATTTTTTTTCAACGAATTAAAAGTGGTAAAGTAGAAGAAGCAGTTTTGCACATCTAAAAATCACATGCCAAGCTTTCTTCAAAACAAGATTTCTCGCAAATTTTTTCTTTTATTGATTTTATTGTGTTCTTCTGTTGTCAGCGGATCAAGCAATTTTCACTTTCGTTCAGTGTTCGGTGCAAAATTTTTTCAAACGAGATGCATGTTTCAAATGCGACACCGACAAGAGAACGTCCATGGATCTTGAAAGACAGGGTTTGCATATGGTTGGAGTGGTTCCGTGCGATAGTAAGTACTTTGCCTATACTGATTTACGGCTGATACCCATGTTTTAGCACTGCTTATTCGATCCCTGCCCGAAGGATGTACAACAGCCATGTTATTCGAGGGACTTAGTCAATACACAGCGCTCACTTCAATTGTACAGCTGCAAATATCGGACTCGAAGCAATATGCATACATCCAAATGAAAAGCAGCGATGAAGCAACGCTGCTTTTGAATTCATCCTACAAAGCGCCGATAAAAATTGGAGGGAAAGATGGTAGTTAGATGGTAAAAAATACAAATTTGTATGATGAAAAATTCGTTTCAGTAGTAACAACCTTCTGCCGGCATTCTATGACTCATCTCATAAGGCAGCAGATATCCATGCTCCAGCATCGAAATCCCGTACCAATGCAGCAAAATGCACCGGGAATGAATCCAAATGGTGGGTGAGAATTGGCTTCACAAAAAAAAAAACCAAACTTTTTCATCTACCTTCCTTCCCATAGTTTTCCAAATGGTGCATAATGTCGTTTGTGGTCCATAGTAATCTGTTATAGCTCATGGTGCTGAGGTGGCGCAAGCAGCAATGGCAGCGCTTAGACAGTCCCAAGGACATGTTGTGGTAAGTTTCTTGGATCAACTTCCAGTCAATATTGATACTTTTATTGATTTGCAGCCTCCCAATGTCGCCGTACCACCGCAACATCTGATAATGATGCAACAACAGCAACAAGGTCAGCAAGCACCAATGATGGCAGCAGGACCAGCGCAACATCCATACGCAATGCCACCAATGGCACAACAAGTACAAATGATCCCAACCACGAGTATGCAAGCACCAATGATGATGCAGCATCCTGCACAATTGCAGGCCGCACCCGGTGCCCCGCAGCCGGCATATGCCGTGGTTAATCCAACACCGGTAAACGGTATTATAGGCTTGACACCAACACCAAGAGGAGTTTTCTCCAAATATGGTACGTTCAGATAACTTCGGATGGTTTTTAGCAGCAAATTATACCCGCTTATCGATTCAATCCTGATAAAATGTTCAATTTAGTAACACCAAATCCAGCAACGTTCTCATACGATCAAAATTCCGGTTATTACCTCGATCCAGAAACGAAGTTCTTCTATGATCAAAAAACCGGCTACTATTATAATAATGACACAAGGAAGTGGTGCTCTTGGGATCCCACCTACAGTACCTACTTCCCGGTGGAAGATACGGTAAGTTCACCGTTGTTAGCGATCTCTTTCTAAATTTGTTGTTTAGTCCCAAAATCAGAATCAGGCTGCCACGTCAGCAGCAACGACCACAACAGAAACACCGGCAACAACTACTGAAGCGAAGCCCGAGGAAAAACCGGAAGAAACGAAAGCCGTTAGTTATTTTTCGAGAATTGGCTTGCTTTTTGGTTCACTCGGCTTCAATTTATTGTTACAGAAGACTGCTGCAGACATTGCTAAGGAAATGATGAAATGGGCAAAGAAGCAAGAAAAGAAAGTGCAGATGTCGTTGAAACCTTTAGTGAAACCTTTGGAGACCAAGAGTGCATTTGATGCAGCTAACGGAAATGGAGCTAACGTTGCACATAAGATGTTGGAAAAGAGCCAAGTAAATTTTTTACGATTATCTCATTGCTGTTTGGATCGGAAAAGCTATATTTAGCACGCTCTTGCGCATGTAAATGACTCTGACGATGAAGAAGAAGGATCAGGAGATGAGAAGAAGAAAAATCCCCCAGATGGTATGTTCTCAACAACATTCCCCATGTGATAAGGAACAATTCCCATGTTTTAGAGCCCCCTGCCCCAGTCGAACAGTGCCATTCTGCGGATGGTACTACTACCGGAAATTTTGTTTTTGCCTCACAAAACTGCATAATTTGTTGATTTAGAAGCTCCTGTTCCCCCAAGACGTCACATCCCAACAGCGCAAGAACATCGCGAAATGATGGAGAGAGCATTAGTAGACGAGGCTAAGAAAATGTGTTTGTTATGTAAGAGGGCGTTCCCAAGTGTAGATGTACTGCGAAAACATGTGGAGAAGAGCGAGCTACATAAGGTGAGTTACTTCCCGTCTATTCTTGGTTCTTACTGATGGTGATTTTCAGAAAAATCTCGAGGAAAAGCGAGTGGAATGGGGAAGACAGTATGTGACAGCAATGATGGAAGGTCAGGGCGATCAGGCCCCTGTTCTACCTCCACAACCGGAGCAGAAAATAGTATATAGAGATAGGGCCAAAGAAAGGAGAGAAGCGTTTGGATTAGATCCTGGAGGTTTGTTAGAGTCTGCTTATTTGATCCGAGGTTTGGTGACCGGTTAGGGTTCAGTGTGTAATTATTTAGTGTCAGATTATCGAGTGGAATTTGGTGTACGCAGCGAAGAAGCGTTGCGAAAGGAATCAGAATTAGCAGCAGTGCGGCCATTGGGCCAGGATAATATAGGTAGCAGATTACTAAAAGGAATGGGATGGAGAGAAGGAATGGGTGTCGGAAGGAATGGACAAGGTTAGTGAAATTTTCGTAACCATGAAATTTGTGTTAATTAGCCAAATGTCGAATTTGGAAAGTATGTAGGAACTGAAGAAAAATCTCTTTTTCTAATTTGGATGAATTTTTATCTATGAAAATGTTTTTGCAAGCTGCAACTGAATTCATTCGTGAAGGCTCCAATTACCTAATTAGCAAAAGTTGCTTATCGATCAAAAAGCAAAAATCATAGAAGTTGTAACCTTTTCATGTTTAATGCATGAATCTGAATTCCAAAACGATCTAAGGGAAGGAAAACTTCAATAGTTGTCGTGGGCGATGTTGTTTTTACAAAGTTCAATTGTTGTTTTAAGGAATCGTAAACCCAATAGAAGCAACCCGACGAGTTGAAGGAGCTGGGCTGGGATCTGCTGGCTCAAAGATTCTTCATGGTGCCGAAGCAACCCACCAAGAACGAGTTCGAGCAACGTTCTACAGCAGATACAAAGATATGGAATGATTGATACCGGTAGCTATTTTTTCCGTAAAGGTCTTGGATCCTCTGCAGCTGCAGCAGACTGCAGTTATTTCTTTGCTTACTGGTTTAAGTACATTTTTAAGATATTCCAGTATAGATCATAGCTTTTTGATTGTGCTAAAGTGTATACCATGTTCACGATGTCGGTTTTCATTGTTTTTTTGTGGATGTTTCAAATACGTGTTGATTGATGCACAGATATATTCTTCAAAAATTCCTTTCTTTTGTAAACATAGCTTGTCTTTTATCATATAAATTATTTTATTTGTGTGGTGTAAATCATTGCTTATTTGGAGAGCAACGTCTCTACAGGCGTTGATGCAGAATGTGGTTCTGTAATTTCTCATGGAACCACCATACCATTTTGCACTTACTTGTACCCCCCCCCCCCTCACCCTCGCGCTCTCTTTGTGTGGAAGAGTTTTGCTTGGACAAAAGCGCGAGTGCGTGGCCGGCACGATTGGCTTGGTGCCTGTTGCGGGTTCATCCCAGCACGTAGTGATTTGTTCAACCATACCATGTGGAAAAAAGCTCACATTGCAATTTCGTTTTTTTTTCGCTCTGCTGGCGTGTTGCCTATTGAGCAGCCACAACGCTGGAGATTGGGAGGTGGAGCGCGTTTTATTGCGCTGGCGCTTACGTTGCCTGTTGAATTGCGCGAAGAACATCGGGCACCGGGGGACAAAGAGGGACTCATCACGTATAGAGCAGGCTCTATGGAGAGGTATCACCCCCGTCGAGCTGTAACAGGGGAGAAGAAGGATACAGACAACGCACAGATCCAGACGACGACGAGACAGCGCTACCCCCCGCTGGCTCCTTTGTCCGCCGGCTCGTTCAGCAGCCCGCGGATCGTCGTCGACGCTACCCGCTCCCCGCTTTGCTTTTCGCCCCGTATCGCTCGACGCATCATCTAATCGTCGTTTTGTGTGTGCGTGTGTGAGTGCGTGTCTGTGCAAACGCCAGAAATGCCGTCGTCGCGTCCAGTTTTAGCGCACTCCCGGCCATTCCTCTGCTACATTGACGAACCGTGCTACATTTCGTCTACTGGACAACTCGTCCAGAAGAGCCTTTGCCATCAAGTATTTTCTGATTCCTCGCTGCTGAAGAGGCAATTCGTCGTCGATTCCGATCGTGCCATCGTTCTTGTTCCTGCATGCCGACAAAAAGTCGACCAGCTGGCTGTCCTAGCGCAAACTGCCGTGTCATTCTTTTTACGCGCAGCTGATACAGATGTTCCCTAATTGAAGAACAGTACTGTAGGAATTACTCCAAAAGGTCAAAGATCACTTTCAGCATTAAGGGGATTAGTGCGGTAGTTTCGTAGACACACACAGCATCTTATCTATCCCCTATGAAACCGGCCTATTAAAGATGCCTATCGTATGCAAGACCACCAGCATCGCCCCAACCATTATGTGAGCGTAGATTTCACGCCTGATCTCATATTCAATTCGTATATTTCGCAACTGGCCTTATTCTGTATGACTTATTCGTTCGTGGGGTTTTCCAAGCATTTTGTGCTGCAGTCATTTTTCGAAAGTTTTGCGAAAAACCGTGCGCTTTGGCCGTAAGCACAGAAAAAGCTGGAATGATGACATCTTTTGTATAAATGACGTCGCATTTGGCAAAAAGGCTGCTTCGAACACGAGTATATTCTGCTTAACTGCAAAAATTTTATATTCTTTTACAAATTCACACTTGAAAAGTTATGCGAGAAACAACTTGAGAATACCGCTTTGTCAGTACACATCCTCAAACACAAAGACATTCATTGACGGTCTCTTGCTAAGTGCATATCTCTGAAAGTGCTTTGATTCTTAGCACTTTTGCAAAATATGGCAAAAATGTGTGAAAACTTGTTTGCAAATTGAAATCTAGATCTTTAGGTGAAAGGACGGCTGCGAGGGTGTTAATGTAACAAATCTGATCTCATCTTTTAGATAGTCGTGCGCCAGGCGACTGGCAAGTATTTGTGGGATTTTTTTAAATGGCATGGATTATGGTTTGATTAGGTTCATTCAGGTTTCAGAGGTATACAGTAAGTCCCACCCTAGCCCAAAGTGTAGTAGATTTACTTTGCAGAATGGTGGTATTCGTGGTCTGCTTGCAAATAACCTGATTGGTTACAGGAATTCAGGCCCTGACCCCATACCGTAAACCTACCGTAACCGCTAAAGTAGCTTTATCATAAGCTCTACGTGAGTGCCGTTATCAACATGTCAACATGTCAAATAACCCCATATGGGAAATTCTAGCGACCAAAATTTTGCATTTTGTTGTAAAAAGTGAGATAAATAATACTATTAGCACTTCAATGAGAGCGATTTGTAGAAGTTTATACAGCTTTTAAAAGGCTGAAAAAGAGGGTAAACTGACATTCACAGTGTACTTTACTGTCCAATAAGCGTTTTGAAGGCGCTTTAGTGAAAAAGTTGCAGATGAACTACTTCATTTTTGAGAAAACATAATGGATGACGATGCATCCTCTTGTTTCAGATTCCGAACGGGTACATTTCCGGATAAGATTCCTCCCATTTAGCGAAAGTTACTAGCATTAGTGAATGAAACAAACCAACCGGTCAATGGACTCGAGTCAGAGAACCAATCGCAACATTTGTTGGCACATGGTCCTTACACGAAAATATGGTTGATTTCGCAATCACGGCATGCAGAGGATAAACAAATGGATTGGTGTCACTACGGCTGCATCGAGCGCTTTGGTTGCTGCTGCTTTTTCATCTATTTCTAGCTCAAACTGTAAAATCTCTCAGGTAACCGGAATGCTGTGTTTTTGATGGTTGAAGAGGAACGTATGCTCCAGTACATCGCATTACGGTAAGAGTAGCTTTAGTCTTGGATGTTCCTCGCGCGATGAACTTCTTTTGCAGAATAAAGCTAAGGACTTTAGTTAGCCTCTCTTTTCTTCTCTTCGAGTTTATGCGGTAAAATTCTGCTTAGCCTAGGTTGTTCTGCCGATTGCATTTTTACCATATCAGCCACAGTCCTGACTCACTTATCAGCACATTGCCCGCTTCATTCGTTATCGGACCGCGCCACAATTGTTTATAGATATGCCTTTGCGCTCAGGTTTACGTTCCGCGTACCACTTGTAATCCACTTAAGCGCTATGCTCAGCCTCGTTGATATCATATCACCAGAAATCATTACTAATCAACCACTCGAAATTCATCGAAACTCGTACTTTGGCAGCCAGACAAGTGGGCGTGGCCTGTCGGGCACATTTACAGTAATTCGGGTGTTTTCGGTGGGGGTGCTGGGCGGTGGGGTGCTGTGAATTTGGGGTGGGTGGAGCCGACACTGTTCTGGCTCGGCGTTTGGTTGAAGCTGCCAATATTCTGTATTGAGTGCTGTAGACTGGTCATTCTGGACTTCTCGGCTGCTGTACCTAGTAATCTTTGTGCCGTACGGACGAGTTTGCTGCTGCTGCGGCGTTTGCACTATGTGTTTGTTTGTTCTATTTGTTTAGATAAACGTTTATTGCAGCTAAGTCATGCTCGACGACATAAACTGGTGGCGCCAAAGTGTCAGTACTTTGTGATTGACTGATGTACATTGATCGGACAGGACAACTCGTCCAAGAAAATCCAGGCTTTCAATCCAGGACCAATGGTTCAATCCTCCTTCTTCTATTCCTTCCAAGCGACTTGTTGATCTCTTTGGTTATCTAGCTGTATGACTATCATGGTTTCATAAGGCTGGACGACTGAAGGCATCAACTCGTCCTAACTTTTCATCATCTCTTATATTCTCTACTCTTGTTGGAATTTTCCTATTCCCCCCCCCCCCCATCTCCCCCGGCTCTGCTTGTACACACATCCATAAATTCGATCTGCAAAAACAACCAGCTGTGCTTCGTTTGTTGACTGTTTTGGCCTATCGCCCCGATGACTAGCTGCCCGGAAAAATAGTTTCGATTCTGATCAAAATACGAATTTAATGAAAAAATCGTCGATCACAGCATTCGATTTGTGACGATAATGAAAACGTTAAATTCAGAGCTGATTTGTGAGTTTTTTGCTGACCAAAGTGGTATTAGGGGTTTGCAAAATGAAATTTCTAGTTTCTTCTAGAAGGACAGGTTGTTTTTGTGCAGTGTCTTCTACAACTTGCAAGATATACATCAGGAGATTACCCGGCACACAATGGGCTATTAGAATCGGGGGAGAAATTCATGGGACGCGCGAAACATGTTCCCGCTATGGGTGGTCGTGACATTCTTTGAGACAGACATAATGGCAAGCATTAGAATGAAAAAATCGCCGAAAAAAGGCAAGTTTTTTGAAAGGGGGGGGGGGGTAGAATCAGTGTAATGACAGGCTTTTGTTCGTTTATTGAAATGTAGAGCGGTCGAATGAAAACGGTAGTATTACTACAAGATTGTGTACCAGGTTATAAACCTTGTAAAGGAAGGTTACTTCGTTATTTTTGCGATTGGAGGTAAATTTTAGTTTGTCAATCAAGGGCTCATTTATTTATCTCAGGAAAGTTGGATTCAGTACTTACAATTAGTTTCGCGCCGAACAACCTTTCCTCTCTTCTCCACATGAAGTTCAACTCCCAATAAACAACCGTTTTCTAAATTTTCTTTTTGCTATTTCCCTCATGCAAGACATATTTTCATACCTCATTCTGGTACTTGTAGTCTCAAGTTATTTTTATAATTTTCAAGAAAGAACTAGAAAATCTTTTGGTGTGACTATGTTTTCGAATTTTATGTGGAAAGTTTTGATGTGTTCAGATTTCACTGCATTCTTTGACAATAGACATGCTGAAAAAAGAGTACATTATTCCCTACTGCGATGAATAGCTTTGAAAATGCATCGAATTATCACTTGCCCTTCAACTATGCTAGACTATGCTTTTAATAGGCGTAAAGAACTTCATAACACGAGCTTCATTATAATTCTGTATTATTATGTTGCAGAATGTATTGCAGAGAATGTAGGTATCATCTATTCTACGACTAGGAGACGCGTGACCGCATTGCGGACATTGTCTTAACATGTTTGAGTTTGTTCTTCCATGTTTCCAAAGAGTGAATAAACGTGGGCGAAATAAATGACGAGTATAAACCTGCTAAGTACACGATTAAGCTTGTTTAGACAATGTGTGCAAAGCGGTCTCGCGTCTCCTAGCCCTAGAATGGATAATATTAGGTCGTTCCGAAAGTAATGTCGCTTTTTTTCGAATGAACGCCACTATTCGTGGAATCAACATTTTCAAAAGATCTTGGGAGCATTCGAT